TTGACCATTTCTTTCATTCAAAACATTGGACTGATGAAAAGTTTAAACAACAGCGTTAAACAACAATGAGGGAATATTTTTGTAACAAATAGGTTTGTAAGTGTAGTAATAGCAGAATAAATTTTAAAGTGTTCAAGTAATTTTGTTTTGGTAAAGTTTTCAAATTACATGTTTTCGTGTTCTGATATTTTAAGAAATTATTTTTATTAAACACTTCACTTGCATAACTAACGAAATAATTTTTTTTAAGAAAGTTAGTTAAACATTAGAATTATATGTAACAAATTGAAGTTCATTCAGGTTTAAACACATTTCTTAAGATATTCATTTGGCTATTTGCTAAATAAAATTTTTAAGTCAAGTAAAAAATTTTAAAATATATAGCAACATGATATAGGAAACGAAAAAGTAAACAATGGCCCACCCCCTCTATAAGTTGCCCACCTGTCTAAGTTGACCACTAAAACAATGCACCACTAAAACAATACAGTAAAACTTACACAAGTTTTACTGTATTGGGGCATATCATTATTATTTATGTTATAAATATATTATCAATATTGAACACTTGAACTAAAATGTTTTTCCTTCCTTCAATGAAGAAACCGTTCTTTTAATAGGAGGCTAGGCATAAATGGGGGAAATTGCAATGACTTTAATTACTTTAAAGCATAAAAAGCTAAGTTTTCGGTATTTTTAATAACTATTTTTTTATTTTTTCCCACAGCCAGTACGGTAACATTTTTGGAAAATAATTACCTTATGACGACAGTAAGTGCCGCCGCTGGTCTCATCTTATTTGCAGCAGTTCTCTGCTTCGTCCTCAGGTTATTCAGCAAGTAAGTTATTCAGCAGTCTTACATATATAGACATTTAAAAAAAATAACCAGTTCTTCAAAACTAATTTAAATTTCTGGAGTAAAATCATTAAAAGATATTTAAATTTCCCAAATAAATAAGAAACACTTATGTAAGAAATTTTAAAATATCACAAAAATATATTATGTTACGCAATAAGCCATTATTTCTTTTCACTTTGGGCAGCATCGATTGAGTAATATTTTAGTCTACTATGTTCATTTAGCCATAGTTTGTATTGAATTCACGTTTCCGAATAAAAATATTAGCTCTTTTAAATGCTATAAACCACTGGAAAAACTTTTTCAATAGCTACTTTCCAGGTAGACCATTGATTTTTTTTATCAATTAAAAGTTTTTAATGAGAAGTGAGAGTAAACAAAACAAAAACTCTTAGTTAAAAGTAAATGTGCTAATATTTTTGTTTTTGGAGCTGTCATCAATTATTGCAATGAAATAAATTCAGCGGATAAAAATTTTGAATCTATGAGTCCATTTTATGAACTAATGTATTATTATTATAATGTATTATGATGTATTATTATTATAATGTATTATGATGTATTATTATTATAATGTATTAAGTATGCATTTTTTTAAAAATCCATTTTTCTCAAAAAGAGTTTAAATCCATTTATCATTAAAGTAGAATCTGGTCAATTAAGTCATTAAAGTTTCATCCCTAACCAAGAATTTTCTTGAACTCTTTTGTCAAGAAAGGTAGAAAGAGAAAGAGAAAACGCAATTTGAATGCCTTAACCACGAAGAAAGGCTAAAATTTAAACTTTTTTTTAAGTATACTATCTGCCTGAAAGAATTGTTACTTGTTCGGATAGCCTAAATGTTTAACAAAAATATCCAACTTTTTAAAAAAGTCGCCAATTTGGCAAGATTTTTTCCAATTAAATAAAAATTATAAAATCAATGAATAGTTTGCGATTTGTTTTTCATACTTTTAGGGGCTCAAAGTGTGCAAAGTTGGAATAACTTTTTAAATAATTAAAAAAAAATGAGATCACAAATGCTTTTTGTTTTCTCGCTGTGGCTTTTTATCTTTTATAATTTTCATACAAAAAAATTTACATAATTTGTATTGAGGAAGCTGGTAAAAGATGAACAGAGCTTAAAAGTCTTGAATAAACGTTACAAAATCACAAAAATCTAGAAAGTCTTATATGATAGCACAGCCCTTCATAAAGATCAGCTCTACGTAACTAAATGATAGTTTGACCAGGCTCAGAATGCGGTAATTCTAACTTGGTGACAACTAGTATACAAATCACTCGATGTAGTGTCGAAAAATGATTAATTCACATTGTATAACTCGATTAATGGTTTGAATCATTTTTAGGGCTCGCTTCAACCGTCCCGCGGACCGCATGGCTAGTGCGGGCTCTCCGCCTACCATGATGTCCGCATTCACGGGCAGCCATGTCCTGGATTCCAGAAGGTGTTCCAGAAGTAGTGCTGGAAGTACAGACTACATGCCTGTATCAAGAAGAGCCAGCTACAGTATGCTTGCTCCTCCCTCTAGCTTAGGTATTCATACTAAGATATTCCCATGATTTTGTTTAGCATATTTTTTTTAATATTTAATAAATAAATATATTTTTAAATATTTTTGTGTCAATGGTAAGACATGAATTTCGCTTTACTAAACAAAAAAATCTAAAAAACTTATTATATTTCTTGCTTTGATATCAACAATAACAACGCTCATATTAATAACGCTTAAAAACAGTAAATAGTTATCTATTTTTAAAAATAAATCGAAAGCAATTAATTGTATTCGCTTACTCCTGGATATTATCGTTCATGGATAAACTGAAACCAAAGGAAGGAATTGAAAGATTTTGAAGGAGTTGAAGAGATTGAAGAGAAATTTAAAAGACGAAGGAATTGAAGAGATTTTTAAAAGACTTTTTGAAAACAGAATGGAGGATCTGGCCTAAACCGATCCTTCAACAGTATTCCCTGGGGGGCGGGACAGGGTAAAGCCGAACTATTATCTTTCGAAGAAGCTAAAAAAATACATAATAGGACCAATGATTATTTTTTTAAAAATTATTACGATTTGTGCATGCTTCAACAAAGAGCATGTTAAAATGTCTTATGTTATAAAAGAATACTAATTTCAGTACTCACGCATTATACCGTCGAACATTTTCTTAAAACTTGAAAATAAATGTGGGAATGGTTCATATTTAAGTATTATTTCCTTGTTGCTTACAATAAGCTATATTTGCATTTTGTCAATTTCTTATACTCATTTACAATATTAAAATATATTTGAAAGATACTAAAATGACTTTGGCACGATGTTGGCAAAAATGGTAGACGGCATCATGCGTAAGTACCCCGTTTTCTTGTTTTTATATTTTCTGGTAAGCAGAAAATAATTTAATTACTAGAAATTATCATTCATAAGTCAATATCGTTTGAAATATATAACAGAAAAGAATTCATAGATCTTTATATTCAAGCAAAAATCAAAAGGTAAAAGTGTGCGAGAATCAAACTAAATATAAAGTACGTGTTATGGAATAAAATAATAATGAATGTGTTATGATCATCATCGGCATACTAGCACTATCGTTGAAATTTAACAATGGTGCAAGTGACGTAGTATGGGTATCTAGATCCTGACTGGTTATCGAAGCGTGACATTTGTTTATGTTAACAACTGTTCTTTTCATTCTATTTTGAGTAAATCAAGCCCGTTAAGTATCAATTCTCTTAAGTGACATAATCTATACTTGTTCACAAAGATTTTTTTACGAAGATTTCAGTTCTTTCACCTTATATTTTTATTTGACACAGAATCAGGCTCGAAGCCAAGTAGAACATAAACAAACCTAATTATGCATAAAAGTTGCCAAGTACACAAAAATTTATAACTGCAATAAAATACATAAACAAATAATGAATCTAAGCTAAATAAAAGACGTAGACGAGAAGGGATTATACTTCAAAAAATTCGAGGTGCAATACGTCTCTGTATTTAACTGATTTCAAGTTAAAACATTCTAACTTGTATAGAGAAATTTAGCTCAACTTTAACACCCCATTTTGCTTATAACCATCATATTGTGCTAGTGCCACAGGTCACATGTGTGGGTATCCGAGATCTTCTCTTTTGCAAGTACACAATTCCATTAATTTAGTGAAATGTTTCCGGATAAAACGATCACAATAATACTACTTCACGCGTGCTTTATCAAGGAACAAGTGTATTATTGTTTGCTTTCTGTGGTGGGAGAGAGTCAAAAAAGTCTACATCTTCACAAATCTTTAACAAAACCAATTTGAGTTTACTCCCGCAAATGAGACTCTGGCACTTAAAATTCCTCTGGCCTCAGTTCAGTTCATCAATCGTACATTTACGGAGTGGTGTGTTCAAATCACTAGCCTCTATAGAGGTTACTGAATCTCTAATTAGTAACTACCAGAACGGCCGAAATAAAGTCCAACGAACTCTCATCTTCACTCTACAATTAGGCTTAGCTTTTGTTTTAAGTATGGAATCTGTGGAGTGATTGTATTCTTTAAAACCTACGAATTGCTATAATTATAACTATTTTTAGATGATATTTAGAGCGGTTCTACAAGTATTTTCTGGGTGCCCTATATTTCTTCTCCTTCAATTCTTTATGAAAATGAATTTCCAGCTTGATACAAATAATTATCTTTCCAGATGCTTAGCAGAGATCAGTGTTCCCCGTGTTTTTTCTCTGACTTTTTTTTTTTTTATCAAAAAGGGTGCTATGTGCAAAACGATAAACTCTTTCTGTTTATCTTGAAACAATTTATTAAAGAAATTATGCAGTAGACGCACCAGAGTAAACTATTATCTAATATAGAAACTAAATATGACAGAAATGATTGTCAACCCTAGAATCCTGAGTAGTAAGTAACCACTTCACGTCTATTTACCGAGCATGATTGCTTTGCGGCCAATTTATATCGCATTGGAATTCTTACTAAGGCTGCCTATCCTTGTTTGGCAAAAGAAACGAGCCTATGGACAAATATCACTTGCGTAACTGTTGGGTTCTTCAAGGAGATACGGAATCATTGGGAAGCAAAAGGAATCATGGAACGATAACCTTAGGTTGTCTCATGAACTCTTTGATGTTATTGTTGCTGTTGATTCTTCATTTAAATTTTTCTCAATCCTTTTTTTTCTGTTCATGGACCCAGCCATTGGAAATAAAAACAAATNCATTGGAAATAAAAACAAATATTTTAAATATTTTTTTCTCCAAGAGTACTCTACTTAATAAGACAGTGATGGATGTTCCTGTTTATTTAAGTATACATATTACTATAAGTATACGTATAATCACAAACCTTAGATGAATCTACTCTTTCTTCCCCTTCAGATTTATGATTTTGATTTTTAACTCACTTTCGTAACACTATCTCTCAAGGTCTTTCATTAATTTTTTTAAATCTAAATCAAAAAATCTAATTTTTTAACATTTTAAATTTTCTTTACAGGGTCTCGTCGGCCAAGTTCATCATCCATGAGGTCTGGATTATCATTTCGAACAAACTCTTCGTTTAGAGGATATCGAACATCAAGAGAACCAGTCCGGCGACCTGCCTCTTCACCTGCAGACTCATCAATACAATTCCCACCAAGTCCCTGTAAGGTGCCCAATCATAATCCCCCTCAACATCATCATCATCATAGTCATCATCCCTTACATCACAACAGCCCAGTTGATGAAGATGAATCTATAGACG